TGCACTTTTAATTGGATCAATTTCCTCTCAATTACATAATCTTTTTGAAAATCGGATGCGATTTCATAATCAGAACATGGTGCTTTCTCCAGGTGAAAAGCACAAGACAAGTTCAACATCACTTTAATTACCTCTTTACCTATCCTTTGGCAGCTATCACAACAGAAGCCCAAAACACAACACTGCTACTATAAAAACAATTTTGAGTAGCTTAGCTTAGCAAATTGTGTTTCCATGAAAGCAAGGGAATAACTCTTTGGTTTGCCATCACCCCTGTACCTAAAGAGCAACGTATGTTGCTTAGTAAACACCAAAGCATGAGGAACCTTGTCACAGATTCTCTCACCCACTTCTTAAAAGCACAGACTATCTTCCTTTTTTGAACTGTAATTATAAAGATAAAACAAATAGCAGAGGCTCAGCTTAGAACAGGGTGTTGGTGACTCGAAACCTTGGGGGATGATTCTATACACCTGTGTGTGAGAGTAGGATCTGGACTGTCTTTACATAATGGTGCTTTTGGATGAATTTTCACCTGGACAGATAGATACGTGTGCTCTCAAAGAATGCAGTGTCAGATCAGGAAGTAAAACGTGGTGCATATCATCCTTCTCCTCATCTCCCAAATCCCATATCTAATTAAAAGACATGAAAACCAGTGATGAAGAAAACAGTTATCAATTATTTAATGCTTGATAGAGGAATGGAAATAAATCCCAAAATCAAACAGTACGCACTCACTTCAGGAAAATACAGAATAACGACCCAACAGTTTTGTCGTCTGTTTTAGTAATGAAAATGAGACGTGTCCACCTCCCCACTTTGTTGGCCCTGGCCTATGCTGTACAATTCCTCAGACAACTCTTAGCACAGGCCAGTGAAGAGAGGTAGTGTGAAAAATGATGAGCCCTAGAGGTATCCAGTTTGCTGGCTATATTAGCGTTTGTTTGCTTATTCCCATCTTCCTATGCTTTGGCATACTGCCAATCCACATATGCTTCTTTAAAATGCAAGCGATTTCCAGGTTGAAGTCTTCAACACCAGCCATCTAGGGTCAATACATTCTCTGTAACATCTGCAATGGGAGACCAATCCAAGATGGCACAGATCCTCCAGCCGAGAGTTACTGCATCCTAAAGGGACTGTATATTCCCTTTGGTGGCACTAGATGAAAGAGCTTTCAAACTGGTAAAGTTCGTCAGACCTGAGACATCATGCTACAGGAACATGATGTTGGAAACATCACTGAAAGGTAGAGCAGATCCTACTGCAGCATGCACACTGAATGCAACCAGAGTTGAAGAGAAAGTATCACAAATGAAGCCCATTAACAATGGACCAAGGACATCAAAGCCAAAAGGGAGAAATCAACAAGGATTTAATAAAGGGACAAATTTCAAATACAGGGCAAAAGGCTAAACTGGCTCTCTCTACTGAAGACTGGGAAGTGCCTAATGTCTAGTCAAACTTCAGCTAACACTATCGTATGTCCTATTTGGGCAGTGTATATGTTAAAGCTCTAAATTTAGATGGGAGGTAGGGTGGAGAAATAACATATAAAAATCACTAAAAGACTGAGTTTCTAAAATTCTAGGACTACCCAGCTGGAATTAGGACATAGCCCAAGTCTACTCTATAGTACCACCAACAACCAAGGACTAAGGGAAGGGAAGCTGGCTGGGGAACAGAAGAAACCGGCATTTCTCATCCCCTAAGGGGTGGAATATCTTCTCAGATGGTAGGTGTAGATCTTGATGCAATGATCCCAACAGTCCAAGACCAGCAGCTGACCCTTAGGAGTAAGGGCAATGCCCACTGGACAGGTGAGCCCCTCTCGAATAAGGACACTATGGCCCCCGCCCTTAGGAAAATGGAGAATTTCCTTGCGACTACTATCGGCCACTATGAGATCACCACGAGCATCCACACACATGCCAGCAATGCAACGGAAATCCTCGTTCTCCGAGAAGAAGTGGCTAATCTGGCGACCCAACTGCCCATCAGGGCCCACAGAGCCAATGGAGAAGCCACCCTCCAGGTGGTGCTCATTCTGCCGATTCTCCAGATTGAGGCCCAAGCCCTGGGTGAAGTAGACGGTGCCCTCAGCATCACAGGTGACAAACTTGGGCCTCACAGCACTGCAGAGGCAGCTGTATTTGACCACCCCTGCTCCTCGGTCAACAGTGAAACACCAAAGCTTTCCACCTTCCACATCAGTTACTACAAACTGGCCAGATGGCAGGGCTGTGATGCCCCATGGTTTGCTCAGCTGGCTCCTGTGACAGGCCACGCAATGGCCATCCAACGTATATACCTTGAGGGAGTTATCGTAGCTGTCAGTCACACCAATCAGCCCATGGCAGTTCATGGCCACTGAGAGAGGAGTGAGATTGGGCAAATCAGCTCCAAGGAAGCTCAGCACAAAGCTGTCAATGCCACTGGGGCTGCGGCGGATCTCCTTCAAAAAGCCTTTGCGGGTGAAGACTTGTATACGGTAGTTGCCACGGTCAGCAACCAGCACCTCGCCTTGGCTGGTCACGTAGAGACTGACTGGGAGATTGAACATGCCTGGAGTGCTGCCTTTGGCCCCCATCTTCTTGAGAAAGAGGCACTGCTGGATATTAGAGGCTGCCTCAGGACCCCGCTGTTTAGCGGGTGAGGCCCTGGGGCTGGCAACCACTTCCTCGGGGCTCATGTCCATCTCTCTAAATGTTACAGAGGTCGAGGCGGCAGAGGCCGCAGCCTCCATGGCCCAGGAATCTTCCATATTAACTGTTCGGGGCTTCTTAACAGCCTGCCCAATTTGGAGGGGGCCAACGTGACCTACCTTAAGGAGCTCCACATCTTGCAGGGTGAGCTCCCGGGGCAAGCTAGCCGTGAGCTCTGGCTCCTCCTCATCAGCTGTCTCCTCCAGTAATGCCACGTCTGCCTGCTTGATCTTGGCCAGGAAGTAGTCACAGCGAGACACAGCCTGCACCTCTGCAATGTTAAGCAGGTAACTCTGCTCCTCTATCACTTGACTATTGCACTTCTCAGCTTCAGCCAAAGAGCCTGTGAAGAACTTCCGAGAGCGAGCCAGCTCGTCCTGGATCCTGCGCTCCTCCTGCCCATACTCCTGGAGAACTGCTTTATACCTTGCCTGAAGGTCCTTGGAGACACCTTCCAAGGCTACCTTGCGCCGCTGCAGCTCCCCTATAAGCTCCCGCAGACGAGTCAACTTCTCTCCAAAGTCCCGACGCCGCTCCTCAGCTGCTTCTTTGACAGGGAGTGTACAGTGGCCAGGAGGCTGGTGGTCCGCCTCCCGGCAAGGCTCACACAACACCAAGCCACAGCTCTGGCAGAACTGCCGGGGCAGACGTCGCCCACAGGACCGGCACATGAGCAGCCCCACGGCCTCGCTGAGCCCAGCTGTGTCAATGATCTTCAGAACTGTCAGGTTGTCTGTCAGCTGGGTCAGGCTGGTTATGCGAGTAATCTTGCTACAAAAGGGACAGCGGACACCATTGATACTACTGGCCAATAGCTTCTCCAGGCACTGGCGGCAGATGGTATGGCCACAGTGCAGCAGCTTGGGCCGCAGCTGCTCTTCTGTGAAGGACTCCATGCAGATAGGGCATTCCAGCACTTCCCGGAGGGCGTCTAGGTTCAGGTGAGAAGCTGCTGCTGCAGCCATTGCTCTTCCTTTGAAGGGTCCTATTAGCACAGCCCAGAACTGAACAGCTCAGTATTCATGCCCCAGAGGGTCAAATTCCTGCTAAAGAGAAAAAAAAATTTATTCATTTTCCACGGCCTATATAATTTAATTCACTTAAAAAACATTTAGAGAATAGCTATGATCACTCATTCAGTCATTCATTTATTTAACAACTATTTTATTGAGGTTACTATGTGTCAGCTGATGGTGACACACAGGGAAACAAAATAGACAAAGCACTGCATAGAGGATAATTGAGGTTCTGGAGTTTGAGACACTTACTTAGTTGTGTGACCTTAAGGAAGTAACTCAAACCTCCTAAAGCTGTTTCCTCCTCACTCATCTGTAAAATAGAAATAATAATGCTGTCTATCTTACATGGTTATTATAAGGGTTAAATAACAGGATAAATAAGATGTACTCAGAACAGCACCTGGCAAGTAGTATATTGGTAATAAACGCTAATGATTATTTTCATATTTTGTGAAGTTTCCAATTCATAATTTATACTAGGAGAAAAGCACATAAAAATTACCTGCAGTAAAAGGAAGAAGTATAACATGGAGATCCACACGATATTCTGCACTGTGTAGGATTCTACCTAGAGGAATTGGGGAAGGCTTCCCAGAAGCAGTGTTACTCCTAAGATATGTCTTGAAAGAAATGAGGCAATGAGGGATAAAGATATTTTAAGCAAAGAAAATTGTGTGAGCAAAAGCCTGGAGACTTTTTTATGATGCCACAGAGTTTACTGTGTCATGTTTGGGGGCCTAGCAATCATCTAGAGGAACAGGGAACGATAATGATTAGCTTTAGGTGATCTGCAAAACGTTAGATCAGAAAATATGTATTTTCCATTCAACCATCCTCCTACTTCCTCACCTATCCACCCATCTAAGTCTAGTATCATGTACTATACTAGATACTAGGAGGTTTTCAGGATACAGATCCTGCCCTTCAGATTCTCAAACTTTAGGAAAGGAGACAAGACGTGTAGGTAAATAATAATCAAGGCCGGAAGTAGTATCATAAATGAAACATAAACTAAGTTTGATGGAGGTTGAGATGGAGTCATTCTAATTTAAAAGAATACAATTTTCAGAGGGCCATTTGATACTGGCCTGGAAAAATGCATAGATGTGGAGACAGAGGAAAGGAGTACCAGGCAAAGGAACAGCCTCAGCAAAAGTTAGGAAG